CAAACCCCTTTAGGACCCCCCCAACCCCCTTCAGGACCCCCCCAAACCCCTCAGAACCCCCCCAACCCCCTCAGGACCCCCCCAAACCCCTTTAGGACCCCCCCCCAAACCCACTTTGTGCCCCCCAAACCCCTTTGTGCCCCCCCCCAAACCCCTTTGTGCCCCCCCAACCCCCTTTATCCCCCCTTTTTTGTGCCCCACAGATCCCTGCCGAGCTCATCACCCTGGACCCATCCCTCTTGGGCCGCATGGACACGGCCACGCTGCAGCAGAAGCGGGACGAGCGCATCCAGCGCCTGGTACCCATGGCGTGGGGCACCCCATAAGTACCCTATGGGGCGGGGGGGGGGGGGGGGGGGAATGGGGCAGCACCCCCATAACCCACCCCCCCTCCTTGCTCCATAGGGCTTTGACCCCCAAGCCAAGGGCAAGTTCAAGCCCCGGCGCAAGAGCAAAGGGAGCAGCGGCCTCCATAGGAAGAAGAAGGTGGCCCATGAGGAGCAAAGGGTGAGGGTTGGGGGGGCAAAAAGGGGTTTGGGGGGGTCCTAAAGGGGTTTGGGGGGTACTAAAGGGGGTTGGGGGGGTCCTAAAGGGGTTTGGGGGGGGCCCAAAGGGGGTTGGGGGGGTCCTAAGGGGGTTGGGAGGGGACACAAAGGGGTTTGGGGGGGTCCTAAGGGGGTTTGGGGGGGTTCCTAAAGGGGTTTGGGGGGGGTCCTAAAGGGGTTTGGGGGGGTCCTAAAGGGGTTTGGGGGGTCCTAAGGGGGTTTGGGGGGGCACAAAGGGGTTTGGGGGGGTCCTAAAGGGGTTTGGGGGGGTCCTAAAGGGGTTTGGGGGGGTCCTAAGGGGGTTTGGGGGGGCACAAAGGGGTCTGGGGGGGTCCTAAAGGGGTTTGGGGGGTACTAAAGGGGTTTGGGGGGGTCCTAAAGGGGTTTGGGGGGAGCACAAAGGGGTCTGGGGGGGTCCTAAAGGGGTTTGGGGGGTACTAAAGGGGTTTGGGGGGGTCCTAAAGGGGTTTGGGGGGAGCACAAAGGGGTCTGGGGGGGTCCTAAAGGGGTTTGGGGGGTACTAAAGGGGTTTGGGGGGGCACAAAGGGGTTTGGGGGCATCTCCCATAGCCTGAGGCCCCTTCAGCACCATGGAGAGCCCCACCAGCAGCACCCATAGGGGCTCAGAGCTCACTTATGGGGTGTCCCCCCCACTTATGGGGTGCCCCCCACATTCATTTAATGGGGTCCTCCATAGGATGACCCCCCCCTATTTATTTAATGGGGTGCCCCATAACCTGACCCCCCCCATTCATTTAATGGGGTGCCCCATAACCTGACCCCCCCCATTCATTTAATGGGGTGCCCTATAACCTGACCACCCCATTTATTTAATGGTGTGCCCCATAACCTGACCCCCCCCATTCATTTAATGGGGTGCCCCATAACCTGACCCCCCCATTCATTTAATGGGGTGCCCCATAACCTGACCCCCCCCATTCATTTAATGGGGTGCCCCATAACCTCATCCCCCCCATTTATTTAATGGGGTGCCCCATAACCTGACCCCCCCCATTCATTTAATGGGGTGCCCCATAACTTTACCCCCCCCATTCATTTAATGGGGTGCCCCATAACTTTACCCCCCCCCCCAAAGGCTGTGATCCGGCAGAGCATGGAGCAACGGGAGCAGGAGAGGAAGAAGAGGGAGAAGAAGAAGATGGGGCCCCCTCTGCCCCCCAAGTGTGGGGCCCTGGAGCGCTTCAAAAGATAACATTGGGGGGGGGGTTAACAATGGGGGGGCCCCAATGGGTGTCAGCCCCATAGTGGGGTTCCCCAATGGGTGCATCCCCATTATGGGGGTCCCCAGTGGCTTCCTCCGCCCCATAGTGGGGGTCCCCTGGGTGCCCCTACCCCATAGTGGGGGGTCCCAGTGTGCTAGCCCACCCCATATTGGGGGTCCCCTGGGTGGTACCCCCCCTATTCTATGGACCCCCCAATATATGGGGGTCCCCATTAGGGGGGGGTCCCTAATGTTGTTTCTCCAGCCCCATATTGGGGGTCCCAGTGTGTCCTGTGTTGTCCCCCCCCACCCCATACCAAGGGTCCCCCCTTTGGGTTCCCCCCCATTGTGGAGGTCCCCTGGGTGCCCCCCACCCCATATTGGGGTGTTGTCTCCCCCACCCCACACTGGGTGTCCCCAGACCCCCCCCCTTTATTAAAGCCTTTTAGTGCCACCCCCTTTGTCCCTTTGCCCCCTTTCTTGACCATGGGGGGCACGGAACAGGACCACGTTGCTCCAAGCCCCATTGCGGCCTTGAAGAGCATCCATGCAACCCCCCCCATATCCCATACCCCATATTCCCTACCCCATATCCCATAACCCCCTGCTCCATATCCCATACACCATACCGCCTATCCCATTACCCCATATCCTATACTATCCCATATCCTATAATACCCCATATCCCATACCCCCTATCCCATACTATCCCATAATACCCCCTATCCCATTACCCCATATCCCATACTATCCCATAACCCATAATACCCCATATCCCATACCCCCTATCCCATTACCCCATATCGCATACCCTCTATCCCATAATATCCCATAATACCCCCATCCCATTACCCCATATCCCATACTATCCCATACCCCATAATACCCCGTACCCCCATCCCATTGCCTCATATCCCATAATACCCCATATCCCATACCCCCTATCCCATTACCCCATATCCCATAATACCCCCTATCCCATACCCCCTATCCCATTACCCCATATCACATACCCCCTATCCCATACCCCCTATCCCATAATATCCCATAATACCCCCTATCCCATTACCCCCTATCCCATACTATCCCATATCCCATAATACCCCATACCCCCATCCCATTACCCCATAACCCATAATACCCCATATCCCATACCCCCTATCCCATTACCCCATATCCCATAATACCCCATATCCCATACCCCCTATCCCATTACCCCATATCCCATAATACCCCCTATCCCATATCCCATAATACCCCATACCCCTATGCCCCCTATCCCTAAAGTCCTCCTAGCACCCGCTGACGTCAACGCCATCTCGACCTCTGATTGGCCGATAGGCGCCAGCCTCTCCAATCGCGGCCGTGGCTTCCCCACCGCTTCCATGTGTGGGGCTGGGGACCGGGGGGGTGGCCGTTTCCATGGAGGGGCCATGGAGAGGGGGGGACAGGGGTGTCTGTGGGGCTGCAATGGGGCACTTGGGGGGGGGGGGGGGCTCCAGGCTGCAATTGGATGCAGGAACAATCAGATTCAGGAACAGTCGGATCCAGGAACAGTTGGATCCAGGAGCAATTGGACCCAGGAACAATCGGATCCGGGTACAATCAGACCCAGGAACAGTTGCATCCAGGAACAGTCGGACCTGGGAATGATTGGACCCAGGAACAATTGGACCTGGAAACAGTTGGATCCAGGAACAATCGGATTCAGGAACAGTCAGATCCAGGAGCAATCGGATCTGGGAACAATCAGATCCGGGAACAATCGGACCCCGGAACCGTTGGACCCAGGAACAATCAGATGCAGAAACAGTTGGATCCAGGAGCAGCTGGACCCAGGAACAATCGGATCCAGGAACAATCGGAGCCAGGAACAGTTGGACCCCCAGGGACAATTGGATCCAGGAACAATCAGACCCGGACAGTTGGATACAGAAGCAACTGGCCCCAGGAGCAATTGGATCTGGGAACAGTTGGACCCAGGAACAATCGGATCCAGGTACAATCAGACCTGGGAACAATTGTATCCAGGAGCAATTGGATGCAGGAACAATCAGATCGAGGAACACTTGGACCCAGGAACAATTGGACCTGGGGACAATCAGATCCAGGAACAATCGGATGCGGGATTGGTTGGATCCAGGAACAGTTGGACCCAGGAACAATCGGATCCAAGAACAACTGGACCGGGGGACAATCGGATCCAGGAACAATCGGACTTGGGAACGGTTGGCTCCAGGACCAGTTGGACCCAGGAACAACCAGAGCTGGGAACAATTGGATTCAGGAACACCCAAACCCAGGACCCTTTTGGGCCCCAATCTCCTCACCCTACACCATGAAGCCACCTCTGGCTGTACCATGGGTACCCCCAACACCCCCCGCCCCATTGAAACACCACACAAGACACAGGCGAAGAAGCAAGGGTCCGGTTGTCCACACAAGTGCGACTGTACAAGAGGAACCAGACCCTGGCTACAACAGTCAGCGCGTCCAGGATCCAAACCACCCCCACACACACACACTTCCGGTTGTGACCTACAGCCGGACTATAAAGCATTAACACCCCCCCCCCAACCCCGGTTGTACGAACAACCGCCCCCAAACAGCCGCTCGCGACAGCCGGTGCTATAGGGCTTGGTTGTACGGGCAGGTTGTGCGCTACAGTCGGACACATGGCGCTACGAGGGGGGGACACCCCAACCACACCGGTACAATGGGGGGGGGGCTACAGGCGGAGCTGGTTGTAGGGGGAGAGGACAAGGTATGGGTCCACCATAGGGGATGACCATAGAGGGATGGGTTGACTGTAGGGGACAGCTATAGGGGGTAGGGGTCAACTGTAGGCAATGGGTTGGCCATAGGGGATGACTGTAGGGTACATGGGTCCGCCATAGGGGATGACCATAGGGGACAGCTATAGGGGACATGGGTCGGTTGTAGGCGCAATGGGTCCACCATAGGGGATGGCCGTAGGGGGCTGGGATGACTGTAGGGGCAATGGGGTTGACCATAGGGGCGATGGGACCACCATAGGGGATGGCTGTAGGGGGGCTTGGATGACTGTAGGGGCAATGGGACCACCACAGGGAACGGCTGTAGGGAGATGGGGCGACTGTAGGGGCAATGGGTCGACCATAGGGGTTGACTGTAGGGGGCAAGGATCCACCATAGGGGACGACTGTAGGGGCTTGGGTTGACCATAGGGGCAATGGGGCAACCGTAGGGGAGGGCTGTAGGGGTTGGGTTGACCATAGGGGACTCCTGCGACAACAGGCGGAGGCGGGTGACACCCGGAGCCACGTGATAGGCCAAGAGACCCAGACCCAGGGCAAGAGGGTCCAACCCCTGTAATTACCCCCTTCCCATTGTAATTACCCCCTTCCCATTCTAATTACCCCCCTTTCCCATAGCAGTTACCCCATTCCCATTGTAATTACCCCTTTCCCATTGTAATTACCCCTTTCCCATTGTAATTACCCCATTCCCATTGTAATTCCCCCCATTCCCATTGTAATTCCCCCATTCCCATTGTAATTACCCACTTCCCCATAGTAATTACCCCTTCCCATTGTAATTACCCCATTCCCATTGTAATTACCTCATTCCCATTGTAATTACCCCATTCCCATTGTAATTACCCCTTTCCCATTGTAATTACCCCATTCCCATTGTAATTACCCACTTCCCCATAGTAATTACCCCTTCCCATTGTAATTACCCCATTCCCATTGTAATTACCCCATTCCCATTGTAATTATCCCCTTCCCATTGGAATTACCCCCTTCCCATTGGAATTACCCCATTCCCATTGTAATTACCCCATTCCCATTGTAATTATCCCCTTCCCATTGGAATTACCCCCTTCCCATTGGAATTACCCCATTCCTATTGTAATTACCCCCTTCCCCATAGTAATTACCCCTTCCCATTGTAATTACCCCATTCCCATTGTAATTACCCCCCTTCCCATTGTAATTACCCCCTCCCGATTGTAATTACCCCCTTCCCATTATAATTATCTCCTTCCTGTTGTAATTAACCCCTTCCCCATAGTAATTGCCCCCTTCCCATTGTAATTACCCCATTCCGATTGTAATTACCCCCTTCCCGTTGTAATTATCCCATCCCAATTGTAATTAACCCCTTCCCATTGTAATTAACCCCTTCCCATTGTAATTACCCCATTCCCATTGTAAATACCCCTTTCCCATTGTAAATACCCCATTCCCATTCTAAGTACCCCCTTCCCCATAGTAATTGCCCCCTTCCCATTGGAATTACCCCCACGTTAATTACCCCATGTTAATTAACCCCCAAATGTTAATTACCCCTGGGGGGGTCACTTACAGAGCAGGTAGACCCCATATTTACCCCCTCCCATTGCAATTACCCCTATTTTCATCACCCCCCCCATTGCAATTATCCCCATGCTAATTACCCCCATATTAATTACCCCATGTTAATTACCCCCCATGCTAATTACCCCGAGGGGGGGTCACTTATAGAGCAGAAAGACCCCATATTTACCCCCTCCCATTGTAATTACCCCCCCTTTTAATCACACCCATATTAGTGAGCCCACATTAATTACCCCCCCCATGCTAATTACCCCACGTTAATTACCCCGAGGGGGGGGTCACTTATAGGGCAGATAGACCCCCTATTTCCCCCCCTCCCATTGCAATTACCCCCCCTTTTCAACACCCCCCATTTCAATCACCCCCCTATTAATGACCCCCATGTTAATTACCCCATGTTAATTACCCCCCCATGCTAATTGCCCCACGTTAATTGCCCCACGGAGGGGTCACTTATAGAGCAAATAGACCCCCTATTTCCTCCCCCAATTGTAATTACCCCCTATTTTCATCACCCCCTATTGCAATGACCCCCATGTTAATTACCCCACATTAATTACCCCCCATGCTAATTACCCCACGTTAATTACCCCGAGGGGGGGGTCACTTATAGGGCAGATAGACCCCCTATTTCCCCCCCTCCCATTGCAATTACCCCCCCTTTTCAACACCCCCCTTTTCAATCACCCCCCTATTAATGACCCCCATATTAATTACCCCCCCATGCTAATTGCCCCACGTTAATTGCCCCATGGAGGAGTCACTTATAGAGCCGATAGACCCCCTATTTCCTCCCCTCCCATTGCAATTACCCCCCCTTTTCAACACCCCCCTTTTCAATCACCCCCCTATTAATGACCCCCATGTTAATTACCCCACATTAATTACCCCCCCATGCTAATTGCCCCACGTTAATTGCCCCATGGAGGGGTCACTTATAGAGCCGATAGACCCCCTATTTCCCCCCCTCCCATTGCAATTACCCCCCCTTTTCAACAGCCCCCTTTTCATTCACCCCCCTATGAATGACCCCCATGTTAATGACCCCATGTTAATTACCCCCTATGCTAATTGCCCCACATTAATTGCCCCATGGAGGGGTCATTTATAGAGCCGATAGACCCCATATTTACTCCCCCAATTGTAATTACCCCCTATTTTCATCCCCCCCATTGCAATTACCCCCATGTTAATTACCCCCATATTAATTACCCCCCCATGCTAATTGCCCCACATTAATTGCCCCATAGAGGGGTCACTTATAGAGGCGATAGACCCCCTATTTCCCCCCCTCCCATTGCAATTACCCCCCCTTTTCAACACCCCCCTTTTCAATCACCCCCCTATGAATGACCCCCATGTTAATTCCCCCCCCATGCTAATTGCCCCACATTAATTGCCCCATGGAGGGGTGACTTATAGAGCCGATAGACCCCCTATTTCCCCCCCTCCCATTGCAATTCCCCCCCCTTTTCAACACCCCCCATTTCAATCAGCCCCCTATTAATGACCCCCATGTTAATTACCCCACATTAATTACCCCCCCATGCTAATTACCCCACGTTAATTACCCCCATGGAGGGGTCACTTATAGAGCCGATAGACCCCATATTTACTCCCCCTATGAATGACCCCCATGTTAATTCCCCCCCCCATGCTAATTGCCCCACATTAATTGCCCCATGGAGGGGTGACTTATTGTGTATCCCCCCTCCCATTGCAATTCCCCCCCCCTTTTCAACACCCCCCATTTCAATCAGCCCCCTATTAATGACCCCCATGTTAATTACCCCACATTAATTGTAATTACCCCCTATTTTCATCCCCCCCATTGCAATTACCCCCATGTTAATTACCCCCACATTAATTACCCCCCCATGCTAATTACCCCACATTAATTGCCCCATGGAGGGGTCACTTATAGAGCCGATAGACACCATATTTACCCCCCTCCCATTGCAATTACCCCCCAATTTAATCACCCCCCTTTTCAATCACCCCCTTATGAATGACCCCCATGTTAATTACCCCACATTAATTACCCCCCCATGCTAATTGCCCCACATTAATTGCCCCATGGAGGGGTGACTTATAGAACCGATAGAGCCCCTATTTCCCCCCCTCCCATTGCAATTACCCCCTATTTTCATCCCCCCCATTGCAATTACCCCCATGTTAATTACCCCACCTTAATTACCCCCCCATGCTAATTACCCCACGTTAATTACCCCGAGGGGGGCGTCACTTATAGGGCAGATAGACCCCCTATTTCCCCCCCTCCCATTGCAATTACCCCCCTTTTCAACACCCCCCTTTTCAATCACCCCCCTATTAATGACCCCCATGTTAATTACCCCCCATGCTAATTGCCCCACGTTAATTGCCCCATGGAGGGGGGGGTCAGGGTCACTTATAGAGCAGATGCACGCGGCTCCCGTCGCAGTTGCCCCTGCCCATCTTGTCGGCCTGCTCGGCCACGAGGCAGCGGACGAGGGGCAGGCTCTGGGGGTAGAAGGGACCCCCCGGTGGGGTGGGCGCCCCCTGCTGGTGGGGGTCGCTGGTGGTGCCGCTGGTGGTGCCGGTGATGGAGGAGGAGGAGGAGGAGCGGCGCCGGGAACGGAGCTGCTGCCGGGCCTGGAGCTGCTGCCGGAGCTCGGAGACGCGCTCCTGTTTCTGGAGGGGGGGGGGGGGGAAGAAGAGGGGGTCAATGGGGAGGGGGAGGGGGGGAATCACCCCAGGGTACAGCCCCCCAAGTTACAGCGCCCCCAAGTTACAGCGCCCCCAAGTTACAGCCCTCCCAAGTTACAGCCCCACCAAGGTACAGCCGCCAAAGTTAGAGCCCCCCAAAGTTAGAGCCCCCCAAGGTACAGCCCCCCAAGTTACAGCCCACCAAGTTACAGCCCCCCCAAGTTACAGCGCCCCCAAGTTAAAGCCCACCCAAGTTACAGCCCCCCAAGCTACACCCTTTGAGCTCCACCTTTCAATCTGCACCCTTCAAGCTCCATCCTTCAATCTACACCCTTCAAGCTACACCCTTCAAGCTACACCCTTCCATCTACACCCTCCAATCTACACCCTTCCATCTCCAATCTACACCCTTCAATCTACACCATTCAATCTACACCATTCAATCTACACCTCCAATCTACCCCCTTCCAATCTACACCCTTCCAATCTACACCTCCAATCTACACTTCCAATCTACACCCTTCCAATCTACACCCTCCAATCTCCACTCTTCAATCTCCAATCTACAACCTTCAACCTCCACCCTTCAATCTACAACCTCCAATCTACACGCTTCAATCTACACCTCCAATCTACACCCTTCCATTCTACACCCTCCAATCTACACCCTCCAATCTACACCCTCCAATCTACACCCTTCCAATCTACACCCTCCAATCTACACCCTTCCAATCTACACCCTCCAATCTACACCCTCCAATCTACACCCTCCAATCTACACCCTTCCATCTACACCCTTCCAATCTCCACCCTTCAATCTACACCCTTCCATCTACACCCTCCAATCTACACCTCCAATCTCCACCCTCCAATCTCCACCCTCCAATCTACACCCTTCAATCTACACCCTTCCATGTACACCCTTCTATCTACACCCTTCAATCTACACCCTCCAATCTACACCCTTCCATCTACACCCACCAATCTACACCTCCAATCTCCACCCTCCAATCTACACCCTTCAATCTACACCCTCCAATCTACACCCTTCCATCTACACCCACCAATCTACACCCACCAATCTACACCCTTCAATCTACAACCTTCAATCTACAACCTTCAACCTCCACCCGTCAAGCTTCACCCTCCAATCTACACCCTTCCATCTACACCCTCCAATCTCCACCCTCCAATCTACACCCTTCAACCTACACCCTTCAATCTACACCTCCAATCTACACCCTTCCAATCTACACCCTCCAATCTACACCCTTCCATCTCCAATCTACACCCTCCAATCTACACCCTCAAATCTACACCCTCCAATCTACACCCTCCAATCTACACCCTAAAATCTCCACCCTTCCAATCTCCACCCTCCAATCTACACCCTCCAATCTACACCCTCCAATCTCCACCCTCCAATCTACACCCTTCAATCTCCACCCTCCAATCTACACCCTTCCATCTACACCCTCCAATCTACACCCTTCCATCTACACCCTTCAATCTACACCCTCCAATCTACACCCTTCCATCTACACCCTTCAAGCTACACCCTTCAATCTACACCCTTCCATCTACACCCTTCAATCTGCACCCTCCAATCTACACCCTTCCATCTACACCCTTCAATCTGCACCCTCCAATCTACACCCTTCCATCTACACCCTCCAATCTACACCCTTCAATCTACACCTCCAATCTACACCCTTCCATCTACACCCTCCAATCTACACCTCCAATCTACACCCTTCCATCTACACCCTCCAATCTACACCCTCCAATCTACACCTCCAATCTACACCCTTCCATCTACACCCTCCAATCTACACCCTCCAATCTACACCTCCAATCTACACCCTTCAATCTACACCCTCCAATCTACACCCTTCCATCTACACCCACCAATCTACACCTCCAATCTCCACCCTCCAATCTACACCCTTCCATCTACACCCTCCAATCTACACCCTTCCATCTACACCCTTCCATTCTACACCCTCCAATCTACACCCTTCCATCTACACCCTTCAAGCTACACCCTTCAATCTACACCCTTCCATCTACACCCCTCAATCTACACCCTTCCATCTACACCCTTCCATCTACACCCTCCAATCTACACCCTCCAATCTACACCCTCCAATCTACACCTCCAATCTACACCCTTCAATCTACACCTCCAATCTACACCCTTCCAATCTACACCCTCCAATCTACACCTCCAATCTACACCCTTCCATTCTACACCCTCCAATCTACACCCTCCAATCTACACCCTTCAATCTACACCTTTCCATCTACACCCTTCCATCTACATCCTCCAATCTACACCTCCAATCTACACCTCCAATCTACACCCTCCAATCTACACCCTCCAATCTACACTCTCCAATCTCCACCCTCCAATCTACACCGTTTCATCTACACCCTTCCATCTACACCCTCCAATCTACACCCTCCAATCTTCACCCTCCAATCTACACCCTCCAATCTACACCCTTCCATCTACACCCTTCAATCTACACCTCCAATCTACACCCTCCAATCTCCACCCTCCAATCTACACCTCCAATCTACACCCTTCCAATCTACACCCTCCAATCTACACCCTCCAATCTACACCCTTCCATCTCCAATCTACACCTCCAATCTCCACCCTCCAATCTACACCCTTCCATCTACACCCTTCCATCTCCACCCTCCAATCTCCACCCTCCAATCTACACCCTCCAATCTACACCTCCAATCTACACCCTTCCATCTCCAATCTACACCCTTCAATCTACACCCTCCAATCTACACCCTTCCAATCTACACCCTTCCAATCTACACCTCCAATCTACACCCTCCAATGTACACCTCCAATCTACACCCTCCAATCTCCACTCTTCAATCTCCAATCTACAACCTTCAATCTACAACCTTCAACCTCTACCCTTCAATCTACAACCTCCAATCTACACCCTTCAATCTACACCCTCCAATCTACACCCTTCAATCTCCAATCTCCACCCTCCAATCTCCACCCTTCCACCCACACCCTTCCAGCTCCACCCTTCAACCTACACCTCCAATCTACACCCTCCAATCTACACCCTCCAATCTCCACCCTTCCATCTACACCTCCAATCTCCACCCTCCAATCTCCACCCTCCAATCTACACCTCCAATCTACACCCTTCCATCTACACCCTCCAATCTCCACCCTTCCATCTCCAATCTACACCCTTCAATCTACACCCTCCAATCTACACCCTTCCATCTCCAAACTACACCTCCAATCTACACCCTCCAATCTACACCCTTCCGTCTCCAATCTACACCCTTCAATCTACACCCTCCAATCTACACCCTTCCATCTCCAAACTACACCTCCAATCTACACCCTCCAATCTACACCCTTCCATCTCCAAACTACACCTCCAATCTACACCCTCCAATCTACACCCTTCCATCTCCAAACTACACCCTCCAATCTACACCCTTCAATCTACACCCTTCCATCTCCAATCTACACCCTCCAATCTCCACCCTTCCACCCACACCCTTCCAGCTCCACCCCTCCTTCCTCCCCCTCCGCCCCCCAACCTCGGCAATGATCTTCTCCAGCTCCCGGTTCTCCTTCTCCAGGAGCCGGGATTTCTCCTCCTCGTTGTTGTTGGTGGACGAGCCGGTCTTCATGGTGTCCTGCTGCTCCGACTGCCACTCGCCGCGCGTGATGAGGCGACGCATCTGCAACCGCCGCCCTCAGCCATGGGGCTATGGGGCACCCAATGGGGCTACCGCCGCCCAATGGGGCTATGGGGCACCCAATGGGGCTACCGGCGCCCAATGGGGCTACCGGCGCCCAATGGGGCTATGGGGCACCCAATGGGGCTATGGACACTCAATGCGGCTACCGGCACCCAATGGGGCTATGGGGCACCCAATGGGGCTACCGGCACCCAATGGGGCTACGGGGCACCCAATGGGGTTACCGGCACCCAATGGGGCTATGGGGCACCCAATGGGGCTACCGGCACCCAATGGGGCTATGCGGCACCCAATGTGGCTATGGGGCACCCAATGGGCCTATGGCTACCCAACGGGCCTATGCCTACCGAATGGGCCTATGGCTACACAATGGGCCTATGGCACCCAATGGGCCTATGGCACCCAATGGGCACACCGATGAACCCTATGGCCACCCAATGGGCCTACGGCCACCCAATGGTCCTATGGCACCCAATGGGCCTATGGCTACCCAATGGGCCTATGGCACCCAATGGGCCTATGGCCACCCAGTGGACCTATGGTCACCCAATGGGCCTATGGCACCCAATGGGCCTATGGCCACCCAGTGGCCCTATGGAATGTTGGGTACTCACCTACACCCTTTGGGATGCTGGGTCCTCCCCAGCCCCATTAGGAACCCTTGGACCCCCCCCCATCCCTCGTCCCCGCCATCACCTTGGGCACGAAGAGGACCACCAAGGTGATGTAGGAGGAGAAGACAACAGCCAATGAGGCGAAGGCGAAGGCCGCATCCTGTTGGCTGCTCAGGATCATGGTGACGGGCGCCGTGATGAGGCAGAGGACCTAGGGGGTGGAAGGAGATGGGGTCACCAATGGCCACCAGTGGTCACCAATGGCCACAATGGCCACCAATGGTAGCCAATAGCAGCCAATGGTGGCCAATGGACGCCAATGGTCACCAATGGTCATCAGTGGTCCCAATGGCCACCAATGGTCACCAACGGTAGTCAATGGTCACCAGTGGTCAACAATGGTTGCCAATGGTCCCAATGCCACCAATGGTCGCCAACGGTAGCCAATGGTCACCAATGGCCACCAATGGTAGCCAATAGCAGCCAATGGTGGCCAATGGACACCAATGGCCACCAATGGTCACCAATGGTAGCCAATGGTCAACAATGGTCAACAATTGTTGCCAGTGGTCCCAATGGCCACCAATGGCCACCAATGGTCAACAATGGTCAACAATGGTTGCCAATGGTCCCAATGGCCACCAATGGCCACCAATGGTCAACAATAGTTGCCAATGGTCACCAATGGTCACCAATGGTCCCAATGGCCACCAATGGCCACCAACGGTCATCAATGGCTGCCAATGGTCACCAATGGTCACCAATGGTCCCAATGGCCACCAATGGCCACCAATGGTCATCAATGGCTGCCAATGGTCACCAATGGTCCCAATGGCCACCAATGGTCCCAATTGTCCAAATGGCCATCAATGGTCACCAATGGCCACCAACGGCCACCAATGGCCACCGATGGCCACCAATAGCCACCAATGGCCGCCAGCGGGCTGTGGGGTGAAGAGCAGAGCAGGGGGTGATGGAGAACTCACCGCCACGTTGTAAATGGCCATCCCCACCGCTCGGTGGTCGTTGATCTTCTCAGTGGACACGCTCTTGGTTTCATAGGCCAAGAAGATGCCCAAGAGCAGGAGCAAGCCCTTGAAGCCATAGAAGATCCCTTTTGGATGAAGGAATGGGTCAAACAAGGACCATCCAATGGCTTTCCATGGACCTCCATGGCCATCGACCCAATGGGGACCCCCGCCCCCCCCAACCATGGAGCCCTCCTTGATGCCCACCAAGCCAAGTGTTCATCTTGGTGGAGCTGCAGTGCTCCAGTTGGGGCAGGATGGAGACGTCCGTGTCCGTCTTGGGCTCCTCCTTGGTGAACTCCTATGGGGATATGGGGGGGGGACAAAAGGGGGCGGGGGGGGGGTTGGGGTGGGGTTGGATTGTCCCCCAAGCAGCACCTCAACACCTTGAGGACCTCCCTCTACATTGAATGGCCCCACAACACCATGCCCATGCCCCAACACCTTGACTGTGACCCCAAGGCCTTGACCATGCCCAACACCTTGACCATGCCCCACACCTTGACCATGCCCCAACACCTTGACTGTGACCCCAACACCTTGACCATGCCCAACACCTTGACTGTGACTCCAACACCTTGACCATGCCCCAAAACCTTGACCATGCCCAACACCTTGACCATGCCCCAACACCTTGACTGTGACCCCAACACCTTGACCATGCCCAACACCTTGACTGTGACCCCAACACCGTGACCATGCCCAACACCTTGACTGTGACCCCAACACCTTGACCATGCCCCAACACCTTGACCATGCCCAACACCTTGACCATGCCCCCAACACCTTGACCATGCCCCCAACACCTTGACCATGCCCAACACCTTGACCATGCCCCCAACACCTTGACCATGCCCAACACCTTGACCGTGACCCCAACACCTTCACCATGCCCAACACCATGCCCATGCCCCCACCTCAATGGTGCGATGCAATGGGTCCACGATCTGCCAGATGACCAAGGTGACCACGTCCAGCCCCACCAGCAGCCCCACGGTGGCATAGAGCTTCCACGGCTCCAAGGTCTATGGGGGAGGAGGGGGGAGAACACCACCATCACCATCACCATCAAGGACCCCCATTGGGCTCCTCTTTGAGCCCATCCCCTTCTTCTCCTCACCTTCCTCTTCTCCTTCTTCTCATCCTTCTTGGTGAAGACCGTGTGGACCCACCAGATCTTGGTGAACATGCTCCCATAGGCCAGGCTGAAGCCAAGGCCCAGGAGCCACAGGCGGGCCTATAGGAAGAGGGGTAGGAGATGGGGTAGGCTTGGTTGGACCTCCCCATCCCCACCATTGACCCCCATTGAGGTGTCCCCAACGAGCACCCCCAATGCTCCTCCTCTTGCCCCCATCCCCACCATTGACCCCCATTGAGGTGTCCCCATCGAGCACCCCCAATGCTCCTCCTCTTGCCCCCATCCCCACCATTGACCCCCATTGAGGTGTCCCCATCCAGCACCCCCAATGCTCCTCCTCTTGCCCCCATCCCCACCATTGACCCCCATTGAGGTGTCCCCATCGAGCACCCCCAATGCTCCTCCTCTTGCCCCCATCCCCACCATTGACCCCCATTGGGGTGTCCCCATCGAGCACAGCCAATGCTCCTCCTCTTGCCCCCATCCCCACCATTGACCCCCATTGGGGTGTCCCCATCGAGCACCCCCAATGCTCCTCCTCTTGCCCCCATCCCCACCATTGACCCCCATTGGGGTGTCCCCATCGAGCACCCCCAATGCTCCTCCTCTTGCCCCCATCCCCACCATTGACCCCCATTGAGGTGTCCCCATCGAGCACCCCCAATGCTCCTCCTCTTGCCCCCATCCCCACCATTGACCCCCATTGGGGTGTCCCCATCGAGCACCCCCAATGCTCCTCTTGTTGCCCCCATCCCCACCATTGACTCCCATTGGGGTGTCCCCATCGAGCACCCCCAATGCTCCTCCTCTTGCCCCCATCCCCACCATTGACCCCCATTGGGGTGTCCCCATCGAGCACCCCCAATGCTCCTCCTCTTGCCCCCATCCCCACCATTGACCCCCATTGGGGTGTCCCCATCCAGCACCCCCAATGCTCCTCCTCTTGCCCCCATCCCCACCATTGACTCCCATTGGGGTGTCCCCATCGAGCACCCCCAATGCCCCTCCTCTTGCCCCCATCCCCACCATTGACCCCCATTGGGGTGTCCCCATCGAGCATCCCCAATGCTCCTCTTGCCCCCATCCCCACCATTGACCCCCATTGGGGTGTCCCCATCGAGCACCCCCAATGCTCCTCCTCTTGCTCCCATCCCCACCATTGACCCCCATTGGGGTGTCCCCATCGAGCACCCCCAATGCTCCTCCTCTTGCCCCCGTCCCCACCATTGACCCCCATTGGGGTGTCCCCATCCAGCACCCCAAATGCTCCTCCTCTTGCTCCCATCCCCACCATTGACCCCCATTGGGGTGTCCCCATCGAGCACCCCCAATGCTCCTCTTGTTGCCCCCATCCCCACCATTGACCCCCATTGGGGTGTCCCCATCGAGCACCCCCAATGCTCCTCTTGTTGCCCCCATCCCCACCATTGACCCCCATTGGGGTGTCCCCATCCAGCACCCCCAATGCTCCTCCTCTTGCCCCCATCCCCACCATTGACCCCCATTGGGGTGTCCCCATCGAGCACCCCCAATGCTCCTCCTCTTGCCCCCATCCCCACCATTGACCCCCATTGTGGTGTCCCCATCCAGCACCCCCAATGCTCCTCCTCTTGCCCCCATCCCCACCATTGACCCCCATTGGGGTGTCCCCATCCAGCACCCCCAATGCTCCTCTTGTTGCCCCCATCCCCACCATTGACCCCCATTGGGGTGTCCCCATCGAGCACCCCCAATGCTCCTCCTCTTGCCCCCATCCCCACCATTGACCCCCATTGGGGTGTCCCCATCGAGCATCCCCAATGCTCCTCTTGCCCCCATCCCCACCATTGACCCCCATTGGGGTGTCCCCATCGAGCACCCCCAATGCTCCTCCTCTTGCCCCCATCCCCACCATTGACCCCCATTGGGGTGACCCCATCGAGCACCCCCAATGCCCCCCCTGTACCTGGCACACGAAGGGGAACAGGCCGGGTCCAATGTGGTAGCCATCGAGGCCAAGGGGGTAGACGGCGGCCAAGGCCAAGGTGCACCCCACGGCGGTCATGTTGTTCAGGTAGGGCTGGGAGTTCTGGATGTACCTGCAGGAGAGCCCCCGTGGCACCTATAGGGCCCCTATAGGGCCACCTACAGCTGGAGGTCCTATAGGGCCACCTACAGCTTGAGGTCCTATAGGGCCATCGACAGCTGGAGGTCCTATAGGGCCATCGACAGCTTGAGGTCCTATAGGGCCTTCGACAGCTTGAGGTGCTATAGGGCCACCTACAGCTTGAGGTGCTATAGGGCCACCTACAGCTTGAGGTCCTATAGGGCCATCGACAGCTTGAGGTCCTGTAGGGCCATCTACAGCTTGAGGTCCTATAGGGCCATCGACAGCCTTGGTGGCACCTTGAGGTCCTATAGGGCCATCAACAGCCTTGGTGGCACCTGAAGGTCCTATAGGGCCATCGACAGCCTTGGTGGCACCTTGAGGTCCTATAGGGCCATCGACAGTCTTGATGGCACCTGAAGGTCCTATAGGGCCATCTACAGCCTTGGTGGCACCTTGAGGTCCTATAGGGCCATCGACAGTCGTGATGGCACCTGAAGGTCCTATAGGGCCATCTACAGTCTTGAAGGCACCTGAAGGTCCTATAGGGCCATCTACAGCCCTGAAGGCACCCAAAGGTCCTATAGGGCCACCTACAGCCCTAATGTGACCTGAAGGTCCTATAGGGCCATCGACAGCCTTGGTGGCCCCCAAAAGGTCCCATAGGCCCTGACTGACCCCAACGCCAAGCACCGACCTGACGTGCCCGTTGTAGATGTTGAAGGCCAAGCAGATGATGGCCAAGAGGATGCCCAAGGAAGCCAACACGGAGACGGAGATGAAGAGCTTCTGGGACAGGAAGCGGAAGGTGGTGATGACCTTGGTGTAGTCGGCTGGTGGGGAACCGCCTGTAGACCCCATAGCACCATGAAGGGACCATAGGGTCTTCTCCCCCACCCTCCCCGGCCCCATAGAAGGGACGTGGGAAGACCCCCTTGGTGGCCCCACTCACCAATCCACTTGTCATTGTTGTACCAGGAGAGGTTGTCCTTGGTGCTGTCGTAGTAACCGATCTTCTTGTAGACACCTCCTATGGGGGGAGAAGATGGGGGGCAGGTTGGAATCACCCATCGCGCCCCATAGGGAGGGGTTCTTCGTGCTCAGATGGAGCCCCACACCCAGCATCTTCGAGAAGGACGTTGGTGGAGGACATGGGGCCACCACTGGGCTCCCCTATGGAGACCTATGGAGAGCACCCAATGATGATGATGATGATGATGAGCTCCATAGGGCCATCAAGAAGGACCCTGACTGAGGACATGGGGCCACCATTGGGTTCCCCTATGGAGATCACCCCATGATGATGATGATGATGAGCTCCATAGGGCCATCAAGAAGGACCCTGACTGAGGACATGGGGCCATCATTGGGTTCCCCTATGGAGATCACCCAATGATGATGATGATGAGCTCCATAGGGCCATCAAGAAGCACCTTGATTGAGGACATGGGGCCACCATTGGGTTCCCCTATGGAGAGCACCCAATGATGATGATGATGATGATGAGCTCCATAGGGCCATCAAGAAGGACCCTAATTGAGGACATGGGGCCACCATTGGGTTCCCCTATGGAGAGCACCCAATGATGATGATGATGATGAGCTCCATAGGGCCATCAAGAAGCACCTTGATTGAGGACATGGGGCCACCATTGGGTTCCCCTATGGAGAGCACCCAATGATGATGATGATGATGATGAGCTCCATAGGGCCATCAAGAAGGACCCTGACTGAGGACATGGGGCCACCATTGGGCTCCCCTATGGAGAGCACCCAATGATGATGATGATGATGAGCTCCATAGGGCCATCAAGAAGGACCCTGACTGAGGACATGGGGCCACCATTGGGTTCCCCCATGGAGAGCACCCAATGATGATGATGATGATGATGAGCTCCATATGGCCATCAAGAAGGACCCTGACTGAGGACATGGGGCCACCATTGGGCTCCCCTATGGAGAGCACCCAATGATGATGATGATGATGATGAGCTCCATAGGGCCATCAAGAAGGACCCTGACTGAGGACATGGGGCCATCATTGGGTTCCCCTATGGAGAGCACCCAATGATGATGATGATGATGATGAGCTCCATAGGGCCATCAAGAAGGACCCTGACTGAGGACATGGGGCCACCATTGGGTTCCCCTATGGAGAGCACCCAATGATGATGATGATGATGATGAGCTCCATAGGGCCATCAAGAAGGACCCTGATTGAGGACATGGGGCCACCATTGGGTTCCCCTATGGAGAGCACCCAATGATGATGATGATGATGATGAGCTCCATAGGGCCATCAAGAAGGACCCTGACTGAGGACATGGGGCCACCATTGGGTTCCCCTATGGAGAGCACCCAATGATGATGATGATGATGATGAGCTCCATAGGGCCATCAAGAAGGACCCTAATTGAGGACATGGAGCCACCATTGGGTTCCCCTATGGAGAGCACCCAATGATGATGATGATGATGATGAGCTCCATAGGGCCATCAAGAAGGACCCTGACTGAGGACATGGGGCCACCATTGGGCTCCCCTATGGAGAGCACCCAGTGATGATGATGATGATGATGAGCTCCATAGGGCCATCAAGAAGCACCTTGATTGAGGACATGGGGCCACCATTGGGCTCCCCTATGGAGATCACCCAATGATGATGATGATGATGATGAGCTCCATAGGGCCATCAAGAAGGACCCTGACTGAGGACATGGGGCCACCATTGGGTTCCCCTATGGAGAGCACCCAATGATGATGATGATGATGATGAGCTCCATAGGGCCATCAAGAAGGACCCTGATTGAGGACATGGGGCCACCATTGGGCTCCCCTATGGAGATCACCCCATGATGATGATGATGGCTCCATCAAGGACCACTTCTTCATGGTGAAGGAGACCAAGCCTTGCCAGAAGAGGTGCCCAAGGAGGCGATGGCCACCTTTGCTCCTCCCCTTTGCTGCCACCCACGGTCCCCATCACCCACCCCATTGCTGACACCCAACATGACCCAACCCCACCACGGACCTTTGAGCTTACCCCAAGGCCCTTCACCCACCTTGGAGCTGCTCGATGAGCGTCCAGGCCATGCGGGAGCCGCTGGCGTCGAAGACAACGTGGCCCTGTGGGGACGGGGATGGAGACAATGGGGCCGTGGGGGACCTCCGAAAGGCCCCTCTCCCTATGGAAGGGACCCCATGGTGGACCCCTGGGTGGAGGACGAGCGCCATGGGGAGAGGGAAGGGACGCACCGAGACGCCCTCGAAGGCGGAGGAGTTGAGGGCCCGGTAGATCTCGTCGGTGATGTTCTTGTTGTTGTAGTTGAAGTCCTCCAAGCGCAACCCCTTCTTCAGGAGCTCCGTGGAGGTCTTGTTGAGGGCCAAGGCCAAGGCCCAGATGGCGTCGTAGGCCAAGGGGGCCTCTTGGAAGCCCCCCGTCTCCTCCGGGTTCTTCCCCAGCCTCTTCTGTAGCTTCTCGATGAACTCCTGCGAGGTCTGAAGAGGGAGGAGAGGAGAGGGGGTGGGATGGATGGGGTGGGATGGGTCGGGTTGGATTGCATTGGGATGGGTTGGGTTGGGTAGGATGGGATGGATGGGGTGGGATGGGTCGGGTTGGATTGCATTGGGATGGGTTGGGTTCGGTAGGATGGGATGGATGGGATGGGGTGGGATGGGTCGGGTTGGGTAGGATGGGATGGATGGGATGGGGTGGATTGCATTGGGATGGGTTGGGTTGGGTAGAATGGGATGGATGGGATGGGATGGGTCGGGTTGGATTGCATTGGGATGGGTTGGGGTGGGTAGGATGGGATGGATGGGATGGGGTGGATTGCATTGGGATGGGTTGGGTTCGGTAGGATGGGATGGATGGGATGGGGTGGGATGGGTTGGATTGCATTGGGATGGGTTGGGTTGGGTAGGATGGGATGGGATGGATGGGTTGGGATGCGTTGGGATGGGTTGGGTTGGGTAGGAGGGGATGGATGGGGTGGGATGGGTCAGGTTGGACTGCATTGGGATGGGTTGGGTTGGGTAGGATGGGATGGATGGGGTGGGATGGGTCGGGTTGGATTGCATTGGGATGGGTTGGGGTGGGATGGATGGGGTGGGATGGGTTGGGTTGGGTAGGATGGGATGGATGGGATGGGGTGGGATGGGTCAGGTTGGATTGCATTGGGATGGGTTGGGGTGGGTAGGATGGGATGGATGGGATGGGGTGGATTGCATTGGGATGGGTTGGGTTGGGTAGAATGGGATGGATGGGATGGGATGGGTCGGGTTGGATTGCATTGGGATGGGTTGGGGTGGGTAGGATGGGATGGATGGGATGGGGTGGATTGCATTGGGATGGGTTGGGTTGGGTAGAATGGGATGGATGGGATGGGATGGGTCGGGTTGGATTGCATTGGGATGGGTTGGGGTGGGTAGGATGGGATGGATGGGATGGGGTGGGATGGGGTGGGTTGCATTGGGATGGGTTGGGTTGGGTAGGAGGGGATGGATGGGATGGGGTGGGATGGGTTGGATTGCATTGGGATGGGTTGGGTTGGGTAGGAGGGGATGGATGGGATGGGATGGCTTGGGATGGGGTGGGTTGGATGGGATGGGATGGGTTGGATTGCATTGGGATGGGTTGGATGGGATGGGTTGGGTAGGATGGGATGGTGTGGATAGGATTGGTTGGGGTGTGATGTGTTGGAAGGGATGGGTTGGATGGGATGGATTGGATGAGATGGGATGGGATGGGGTGGGATGGATGGGATGGGATGGGTTGGATGGGTTGGTTTGGGATGGGCTGGATGGGGTGGGGTGGGATGGGTTGGGTTGGGATGGGCTGGAGCTCCCAGCTGGCTCCAGGATGGCCTTGTACCATGTTGGAGATGCTGCGGGTGTTCTCGGGGTTGAGCATCACGATCTCGGTGGTGACGTGGCCTTCAACGGCTTCGGCCATCTCAGCCTCAGTGCAGTTGATGGCCGGGTCCTTGATGCGGAACCAGTTGTCCGCGTACCAACCAATGAGGAACCAGACGTACTTCTTGCCATAGAGCTTCTCCTTGTAGACCTGCGGGGGGCTCCAGCATCCCGCATCCATCCATAGATCCATCCATCATCATCCATCATCATCATCCATCATCCATCATCCATCCACCACATTCACATCTACCCACCCTTACATCCATCGATGCCACCATCTTCCTCCCCACACATCCCTTTGCTCCGCCCCATAACCACCCAATGTCCCCATATGCCACCCCTCACCTCGCAGAAGACTTTCCGTGCCTCAGTCTCATAGAAGAGCCCCACGATGATGCGGGCATCCTGGCGCTGCAGGAGACAATGAGCTGGGGTGGGACTTCTGCCGCCGAGGGGGTCATCAGTCATCATCATCCATCATTATCCATCATTCATCCATCATCCATCATCCATCCATCATCCATCATCCATCCATCATCCATCATCCATCCATCATCCGTCCACCATCCATCCATCATCCATCATTATCCATCATTCATCCATCATCCATCATCCATCATCCATCCATCATCCATCCATCATCCATCCATCCATCCATCATCCATCATCCATCCCCATCCATCATCCATCCATCCATCATCCATCCATCCATCATCCATCCATCCATCCATCATCCATCATCCATCCCCATCCATCATCCATCCATCCATCCATCCATCCATCCATCATCCATCCATCCATCATCCATCCATCCATCCATCATCCATCATCCATCCCCATCCATCATCCATCCATCCATCCATCCATCCATCCATCATCCATCCATCATCCGTCCATCCATCATCATCCATCATCCATCACCCATCCATCATCCATCACCCATCCATCATCCATCCATCATCCATCCATCCATCCATCATCCATCATCCATCATTCATCCATCATCCATCCATCCATCATCCATCCATCCATCCATCATCCATCCATCATCCATCATCCATCATCCATCATCCATCCATCACCCATCCACCCATCCATCCATCATCCATCCATCACCCATCATCCATCATCCATCATCCATCCATCACCCATCCATCATCCATCCATCATCCATCCATCATCATCCATCATCCATCCATCACCCATCCATCATCATCCATCATCCATCCATCCATCCATCATCCATCACCCATCCATCACCCATCCATCACCCCAACGGTTGCAGGTCCATGGGGAGCACACAGGTGCCACGGACCCGGCCTCACCTTGAGGTTGCGCACCGGCGCCGCGGGGTCGGAGAAGAAGCTCTGCCTGAAGGTGATCTCCAACCCGGCCTCCTTCACCCGCTGGTCCAGGTCATCCAGGGTCTGGTGGTGGGACCAAGGCAGGAGAAGCAGGGTGGCACCAAGGGGAAGACAGCAAAGAGTGAGGCCGAGGTGAGGGGGGCACCAAGCAATGGGCTTCTCGGTGGGGTTGGCGTTGGACACCACCGTGATGGGCTTGGGGTGGTCGTTGGGGGGTCATTGGGTTGGTTTTGGGTCGTCGTTGGGGGGTCATTGGGTTGGTTTTGGGTGGTCGTTGGGGGGTCATTGGGTGCCATTGGGTTGGTTTTGGGGGGTCATTGGGTGCCATTGGGTTGGTTTTGGGTGGTCATTGGGTGGTCGTTGGGTGGTCATTGGGTGCCATTGGGTGGGGTTGGGCTGGTTGTTGGGGGGTCATTGGGTTGGTTTTGGGTGGTCGTTGGGGGGTCATTAGGTGGGTTTTGGGTGGTCGTTGGGGGGTCATTGGGTTGGTTTTGGGTGGTCGTTGGGGGGTCATTGGGTGCCATTGGGTGGGGTTGGGCTGGTTGTTGGGGGGTCATTGAGTTGGTTTTGGGTGGTCGTTGGGGGGTCATTGGGTGCCATTGGGTTGGTTTTGGGTGGTCATTGGGTGGGGTTGGGCTGGTTGTTTGGGGGTCATTGGGTTGGTTTTGGGTGGTCGTTGGGGGGTCATTGGGTGCCATTGGGTGGGGTTGGGCTGGTTGTTGGGGGGTCATTGAGTTGGTTTTGGGTGGTCGTTGGGTGGTCATTGGGTGCCATTGGGTTGGTCTTGGGGGGTCATTGGGTGCCATTGGGTTGGTTTTGGGTGGTCATTGGGTGGTCGTTGGGTGGTCATTGGGTGCCATTGGGTGGGGTTGGGCTGGTTGTTGGGGGGTCATTGGGTGGGTTTGGGCTGGTTGTTGGGTGGTCATTGGACAGCCGTTGGGTGTTCTTAGGTGGTCATTGGGTGCCATTGGGTTGGTTTTGGGTGGTCGTTGGGGGGTCATTGGGTGCCATTGGGTTGGTTTTGGGTGGTCGTTGGGGGGTCATTGGGTGCCATTGGTTGGGGTTGGGCTGGTTCTTGGGTGGTCACTGGACAGCCATTGGATGTTCTTAGGTGGTCATTGGGTGGTCACTGGGTGTTCTTGGGTGCTCATTGGGTCCACGTTGGGTGCTCGTTGGGTGCCCATTGGGCGCTCATTGGGTGCTCATTGGGTGCTCTTTGGGCACTCACTGAGTGCTCATTGGGTGGTCTTTGGGTGTTCATTGGGTGGCTGTCAGGCAATCATTGGGTGTTCACTGGGTGCTAATTGGGTGGTCTTTGGGTGTTCATTGGGTTCCCATTTGGTGCTCATTGGGTGCTCTTTGGGCACTCATTGGGTGCTCATTGGGCGCTCTTTGGGCACTCATTGGGTGCTCATTGGGCGCTCTTTGGGTGATCATTGGGCGCTCTTTGGGTGATCATTGGGTGCCCACTGGGTGCTCATTGGGCGCTCTTTGGGTGCTCGTTGAGCGCTTATCGGTTGTTCATTGGGTTCCCACTGGGTGCTCATTGGGTTCCCATTGGGTGCTCATTGTGTGCTCATTGGGTGCTCTTTGGGCACTCATTGGGTGCTCTTTGGGCACTCATTGGGCGCCCATTGGGTCCTCATTGTGTGCTCATTGGGTACCCTTTGGGCACTCATTGGGGGCTCTTTGGGCACTCATTGGGCACTCATTGGGTGCTCTTTGGGCACTCATTGGGCTCTCATTGGATGCTCTTTGGGCGCCCATTGGGCTCTCATTGGGTGCTCTTTGGGCGCTCATTGGGCTCTCATTCGGTGTTCATTGGGCGCCCATTGGGCACTCATTGTGTGCTCATTGGGCACCCATTGGGCTCTCATTGGGTGCTCTTTGGGCTCTCATTGGGCTCTCATTGGGTGCTCTTTGGGCGCTCATTGGGCTCTCATTGCGTGTTCATTGGGCGCCCATTGGGCACTCATTGTGTGCTCATTGGGCACCCATTGGGCTCTCATTGGGTGCTCTTTGGGCTCTCATTGGGCACTCATTGGGGGCTCTTTGGGCGCTCATTGGGCACTCATTGTGTGCTCTTTGGGTGCTCATTGGGTGCTCTTTGGGCACTCATTGGGTGCTCATTGGGCACTCATTGGGCTCTCATTGGGCACTCATTGGGGGCTCTTTGGGCGCTCATTGGATGGTCTTTGGGCTCTCATTGGGTGCTCATTGGGCGCCCATTGGTCACTCAATGGGTGCCCCCCCCCCCGTACCGAGGTGAAGACCTCCGTGGTCTGCTGGATGGTGGCGATCTTGGTCCAGCCCCACTTCTTGAAGAGCTGCACGCGGGTGGGGTTGTGCAGCGTGGCCGAGGGGTGGGTGCGGAAGAAGGTGGGGAAGCGTTGCCGATTGGACAGCGCCGGGGAGCTGGAGCCGTACGAGAGCTGCGGGCACGGGCCCACGCCATGGGGATGGGATGGAGGGGAGCAAAGAGCTCCTCCGCCTCCCACCCCATGGGGCACCGTCCGTTGAGGAGGCTGCCCCGAGCCCCTGTGTTCAGCCTGACCCATAACCAATACCCCATATCCCATATGCCATACCCCATACCCCATATCCCATATCCCATACCCTATACCCCACACCTCATACCCCATATCCCATACCCCACACCCCATATCCCATATCCCATACCCAATACCCCATACCCCATATCCCATGTCCCATACTCTATACCCCATACCCCATATCCCATGTCCCATACTCCGTATCCCATATCCCATACCCCATACCCCACACCCCATATCCCATACCCAATACCCCATACCCCATATCCCATACCCAATACCCCATACCCCATATCCCATGTCCCATACTCCATATCCCATATCCCATACCCCATACCCCATATCCCATATCCCATACCCCACACCCATATCCCATACCCCATATCTCATGCCCCATATCCCACACCCCATATCCCATACCCAGTACCCCATACCCCATATCCCATGTCCCATATCCCATATCCCATACCCCATACCCCACACCCCATATCCCATACCCCATATCTCATGCCCCATATCCCATACCCAATACCCCATACCCCATACCCCATATCCCATATCCCATACCCCATAACCCATATCCCACACCCCATACCCCACACCCCACACCCCATAGGACCCCATATCCTCACCACGATGAGGTTCCACATCCGAGCAGCCTCGGCCACCAGTGTGGAGACGCTGCTGCAGCCGGGCATGAGGATGATCTTGATGGGGTCGTTGTAGAGCAGCTCATAGAGGTACTTGGTGGCTTGGCCAGGGTCACACTGGGGTGGTGGGGACATCACAATGGGGTCGAGGGTATCACAATGGGGTCAAGGGCATCATAAAGGGGTTGGGGGCATCACAATGGGGGTGAGGGCATCACAATGGGGGTGAGGGCATCACAATGGGGGTGAGGGCATCATAAAGGGGGTGGGGGCATCACAATGGGGGTGAGGGCATCGCAATGGGGTCGAGGGTATCACAATGGGGGTGAGGGCATCACGATGGGGTCGAGGGTATCACAATGGGGGTGAGGGCATCACAATGGGGTCGAGGGTATCACAATGGGGTCAAGGGCGTCATAAAGGGGGTGAGGGCATCACAATGGGGTTGGGGGCATCACAATGGGGGTGAGGGCATCACAATGGGGTTGGGGGCATCACAATGGGGGTGAGGGTATCACAATGGGGGTGAGGGCATCACAATGGGGGTGACGGCATCACAATGGGGGTGAGGGTATCACAATGGGGTCGAGGGCATCACAATGTGGGTGAGGGCATCACAATGGGTTTGGGGGCAGCATAAAGGGGTTGCGGGCCTCACAATGGGGTCGGGGGCATCACAATGGGGGTGAGGGCATCACAATGGGGTTGGGAGCATCATAAAGGGGGTGAGGGCATCACAATGGGGTTGGGGGCATCACAATGGGGTTGAGGGCATCACAATGGGGTTGAGGGCATCACAATGGGGGTGAGGGCATCACAATGGGGCTGGGGGCATCACAATGGGGGTGAGGGCATCATAAAGGGGGTGAGGGCATCACAATGGGGTCGAGGCATCACAATGGGGTTGGGGACATCACAATGGGGGTGAGGGCATCACAATGGGGGTGAGGGCATCACAATGGGGTTGGGAGCATCGTAAAGGGGGTGAGGGCATCACAATGGGGGTGAGGGTATCACAATGGGGTCGAGGGCATCACAATGGGGGTGAGGGCATCACAATGGGGTCGAGGGCATCACAATGGGTTTGGGGGCAGCATAAAGGGGTTGGGGGCATCACAAAGGGGTTGAGGGCATCATAAAGGGGTTGGGAGTATCATGAAGGGCTTGGGGGCATCACAAAGGGGTTGGGGGCATCACAATGGGGTTGAGGGCATCACAATGGGGTCGAGGGCATCACAAAGGGGTCGAGGGCATCACAATGGGGGTGAGGGCATCACAATGGGGGTGAGGGCATCACAATGGGGGTGAGGGCGTCATAAAGGGGGTGAGGGCATCACAATGGGGGTGAGGGCATCACAATGGGGTTGGGAGCATCACAATGGGGGTGAGGGCGTCATAAAGGGGGTGAGGGCATCACAATGGGGTTGAGGGCATTACAATGGGGGTAAGGGCATCACAATGGGGTCGAGGGTATCACAATGGGGTTGGGAGCATAATAAAGGGGGTGAGGGCATCACAATGGGGGTGAGGGCATCACAATGGGGTCGAGGGCATCACAACGGGGGAGAGGGCATCACAATGGGGAAGAGGGCATCACAATGGGGGTAAGGGCATCACAATGGGGGTAAGGGCATCACAATGGGGGTGAGGGCATCACAATGGGGTCGAGGGCATCATAAAGGGGTTGGGGGTATCATAAAGGGGTTGGGGGCATCACAATGGGTGTGAGGGCATCACAATGGGGGTGAGGGCATCACAAAGGGGTTGGGGGCATCACAATGGGGTTGAGGGTATCACAATGGGGGTGAGGGCATCACAATGGGGTTGGGAGCATCATAAAGGGGGTGAGGACAACCCCCCCCCCCCAACCCCTCCAACCCATCCCAACCACCCCCCCCCATTGGATCCACGCTTCCCGGTGTTCCCGATCCATCCCATCCCCCCCCATTCCCGCTGTTTCCCGGGGGGGGGGGGGGGGGGGGGATGAATAATTCAGGACACGGATGCTCCTGGTGCCGTTGCCGTGGCAACCGGAGCCAGGACCCAGCAGCATCCGGTTGCCATAGCAACCGCGGGGGGGGGGATTAAGAAGGGGGTTGGGAGGGGGTGAAGGACAAATAGGGCTCAATGACCCCCCTCTTCCCCATAGATCTGCCCCATAGATCTGCCCTATAGACCCCCATAATGGTGCCAGGCCCCCGCTGCTCTATATATTGATGTAACCCCTCTGCTCCTGCCCCATAGATCTGCCCCTTAAGCTCTCCATGGCTTACCCGGCCCTATAGAGGCAAAAGCCTGCCCCATATATTTGCCCTATAGAGGCAACAGCCTGCCCCATATCCTTGCCCTATAGAGGCAACAGCCTGCCCCATATCCTTGCCCTATAGAGGCAATATCCTGCCCCATATCCTTGCCCTATAGAGGCAATAGCCTGCCCCATATCCTTGCCCTATAGAGGCAATAGCCTGCCCCATATATTTGCCCTATAGAGGCAACAGCCTGCCCCATATCCTTGCCCTATAGAGGCAACAGCCTGCCCCATATCCCTGCCCTACAGAGGCAACAGCCTGCCCCATATCCTTGCCCTATAGAGGCAACAGCCTGCCCCATATCCCTGCCCTACAGAGGCAATAGCCTGCCCCATATCCTTGCCCTATAGAGGCAACAGCCTGCCCCAAATCCTGCCCCATATCCCAGCACTTCTTGCTGTTCCATTGCCACCATGCCTCACTGTCCCCCTGCCCCATTCCCAGCTCCACCATCACCTTCATCACCCCATCACCTCCTCCATCCCCTTCGGCACCCCATCATCATCATCACCCCACCACCCCCATCATCCCATCACCTCCATCACCATCTTCATCACCCCATGGAGCACTTCCATCACCATCGCCCCTTCATCACCTCCATCACCTCCATCACCCCATCACCACCGCCATCACCTTCATCACCCCATCACCTCCATCACCACCTTCATCACCCCATGGAGCACTTCCATCACCATCGCCCCTTCATCACCTCCATCATCTCCATCACCCCATCACCACCGCCATCACCTTCATCACCCCATCACCTCCATCCCCTTCAGCACCCCATCATCATCATCCCACCTCCATCACTGCCTTCATCACCCCATGAGTGCTTCCATCCCCATTGCCCCTTCATCACCTCCATCACCCCATCATCACCTCCATCACCTCCATGACTGCATCACCTCCATCACCTCCATCACCTTCATCACCTCCATCACCTCCATCACCTCCATCACCCCATCATCACCTCCATCACCTCCATCCCCTTCAGCACCCCATCATCATCATCCCACCTCCATCACCGCCTTCATCACCCCATGAGCGCTTCCATCCCCATTGCCCCTTCATCACCTCCATCACCCCATCATCACCTCCATCACCTCCATGACTGCATCACCTCCATCACCTCCATCACTTCCATAACCTCCATCACCTTCATCACCTCCATCACCCCATCATCATCTCCATCACCTCCATGACTGCATCACCTCCATCACCTCCATCACTTCCATAACCTCCATCACCTTCATCACCTCCATCACCTCCATCCTCTTCATCACCTCCATCACCTCCATCACCTCCATCACCCCATCACCACCTCCATCACCACCTCCATGACTGCATCCCCTCCATCACCTTCATCACCTCCATCACCCCATCACCACCTCCATGTCTGCATCCCCTCCATCACCACCATCACCTCCATCACCCCATCACCACCTCCATCACCTCCATGACTCCATTCCCTCCATCACCTCCATGACTGCATCACCTCCATCACCTCCATCCCCTTCATCACCTCCATCCCCTTCATCACCTCCATCCCCTTCATCACCTCCATCACCTCCATCACTTCCATCCCCTTCATCACCTGCATCACCTCCATCCCCTTCATCACCTCCATCACCTCCATCACCTTCATCACCTCCATCACCCCATCACCATCTCCATCACCTCCATCACCTTCGTCACCTCCATCACCCCATCACCACCTCCATCACCTTCATCACCTCCATCCCCTTCATCACCTCCATCACCTCCACCCCCTTCATCACCTCCATCACCCCATCACCTCCATCAGCTCCATCACCATCATTACCCCATCATCCCCTCCATCACCCCATTGCACCCACATGACTGCATCATCACCCCCATCACCTCCATCACCCTATCCCCACCTCCATGGCCCCATCCCCTCTATCACCTCCATCACCATAGTTATCCCATCATCACCTCCATCCCCTCCATCACCCCATCATCACCTCCATCACCACCTCCATGACTACAACACCACCTCCATCCCCTCCACCACCTCCATCAACCCATCACCACCTCCATCATCACCCTCCCCTCCTTTCCCATACCACCTCCATCCCCTTCAGCACCTCCATCACCTCCATCACCCCATCACCACCTCCATCATCACCATCCCCTCCTTCCCCATATCACCTCCATCACCTCCATCCCCTCCATCACCTCCATCACCCCATCACCACCTCCATCACCCCATCACCTCCATCACCTCCATCCCCCCATCCCCCCCCCCCCAATGCCCCCACCTTGCTGTCGTGGTGGATGAGGCGCAGCTCGTGGTCGGGCAGGATGTCCCCCCGGCTGTTGATGTCCTCCAGGGCCATGCGCACGGCGGGCAGGCAGGCCTGGCCCCCCGGCCACCCCCCGCTCATGGGGAACAGGGCCCCGACGTGCACCGCCTTCTTCCCTGCGCCCGACACCGGTGCCACCAGCAGAGCCAGCGCCAGCACCACGGGGGGCAACAACGGGGGCCGTGGGGGCGATGGGGCAGGAGCCATGGGTCAGGAGGAGGTGGGGAAGGGGGGCATGGTGGGGATGGGGTGGGGGGGGGGGAGGATGGGGATGAAGGAGGAGAGGAAGAGGAAGGGCAAGGGGGGAGATGGAGGAGGAAGGGGAAGGAGAAAGAGGAGGAGGATGGGGAGGAAGAGGAGGGAGGAGGAGGGAGGAGAAGGAGGGCAGAGGGAGGAGGAGGAAGAGGATGGATGGAGGAGGAGGAAGAGGAGAAGGAGGAGGAAGGACGAGGAGGAAGGAGGAAGAGGAGGAGGGAAAGGAGGAAGAGGAGGAGAAGGGGGGGGGGGGGCGTTGATGTCACCGGGCTCGAGCTTGGAATGGGAATGAAGGGATCGTAGGGAATGATGGGAACGGGGGGGGGGGAGGAAGAAGAGGGATGGGGATGGAAAACAGGGATTGGGGGGGGATAAGAGGGATTGGGGGGGGATAAGAGGGATTGGGGGGGGGAATAAGAGGGATGGGGGGGGATAACAGGGATGGGGGGGGGAATAAGAGGGATGGGGATGGAGAAGAGAGGGATGGGGAGCAGGAGGATGGCGAGCGGAGGAGCCGGAGGGATTCGGGGCGGAGACTCCGGAGGGATGGGGGAGAGGAAAAGAGGGATGGGGATGGGGAAAGGAGGGATTGGATGGGGGGGAGGGAGGGAGGGGAGGGGGGAGGAGCAAGGGGGGGGGTGTGGATACGCGGACATGGGTGGGCATGGATTGACGTGGATTGAGATGGATTGACATGGGTAGGCATGGAAGGACATGGATGGACATGGATGGACATGGGTAGACATGGATAGACATGGATGGACATGGAAGGACATGGGTAGACATGGAAGGACATGGATGGACATGGGTAGGCATGGAAGGACATGGAAGGACATGGGTAGGCATGGAAGGACATGGAAGGACATGGGTAGACATGGATAGACATGAAAGGACATGGATGGACATGGAAGGACATGGATGGACATGGAAGGACATGGATGGACATGGATGGACATGGAAGGACATGGAAGGACATGGGTGGACATGGAAGGACATGGATGGACATGGATGGACATGGATGGACATGGAAGGACATGGGTGGACATGGAAGGACATGGGTGGACATGGATGGACATGGATGGACATGGGTGGACATGGGTAGACATGGATGGACATGGATGGACATGGGTAGGCATGGATAGACATGAAAGGACATGGATGGACATGGGTAGGCATGGATAGACATGGAAGGACATGGATGGACATGGGTAGGCATGGATAGACATGAAAAGACATGGATGGACATGGGTGGACATGGAAGGACATGGATGGACATGGGTAGACATGGATGGACATGGATGGACATGGATGGACATGGATGGACATGGGTAGACATGGAAGGACATGGGTAGACATGAAAGGACATGGGTGGACATGGAAGGACATGGGTGGACATGGATAGACATGGATGGACATGGAAGGACATGGGTGGACATTGAAGGACATAGGTAGACATGGGTGGACATGGATGGACATGGAAGGACATGGGTGGACATGGGTAGACATGGATAAACATGGAAGGACATGGATAGAGAGGGTAAACATGGATTGACATGGAAGGACATGGAAGGAAGGACATGGGTGGACATGGGTAGACATGGATAAACTTGGATAGACATGGAAGGACATGGATAGAGAGGGTAGACATGGATAGACATGGATTGACATGGAAGGACATGGAAGTGCATGGATAGACATGGAAGGACATGGAAGGACATGGATGGACATGGATGGACATGGATAAACATGGATGGACATGGATGGACATGGATGGACATGGGTAGGCATGGAAGGACATGGAAGGACATGGGTAGACATGGAAGGACATGGATGGACATGGGTAGACATGGATGGACATGGAAGGACATGGATGGACATGGAAGGACATGGAAGGACATGGATGGACATGGGTAGGCATGGAAGGACATGGATGGACATGGGTAGACATGGAAGGACATGGATGGACATGGATGGACATGGGTAGGCATGGATAGACATGAAAGGACATGGATGGACATGGGTGGACATGGATGGACATGGAAGGACATGGATGGACATGGGTAGACATGGATGGACATGGATGGACATGGATGGACATGGGTAGACATGAAAGGACATGGGTGGACATGGGTGGACATGGAAGGACATGGAAGGACATGGGTAGACATGAAAGGACATGGGTGGACATGAATAGACATGGGTGGACATGGATGGACATGGGTGGACATGGAAGGACATGGGTGAACATGGAAGGACATGGATAAACATGGATGGACATGGGTAGACATGGATGGACATGGATGGACATGGGTGGACATGGATGGACATGGATGGACATGGAAGGACATGGATAGACATGGGTGGACATGGAAGGACATGGGTGGACATGGATGGACATGGGTGGACATGGATGGACATGGAAAGACATGGATAGACATGAATAGACATGGATGGACATGGATAGACATGGATGGACATGGAAGGACATGGATAGACATGGGTAGACATGGATAGACATGGAGGGACATGGATGGACATGGAAGTGCATGGAAGGACATGGATAGACATGGAAGGACATGGAAGGACATGGATGGACATGGAAGAACATGGATTGACATGGAAGGACATGGGTGGACATGGATGGACATGGAAGGACATGGATAGACATGGATGGACATGGATGGACATGGATAGACATGGATGGACATGGATGGACATGGAAGAGGTGGATAGACACATGGGCACTCACCTGAGGAAGGACGACGAACTGTGGGGGGAAACTGAGTCACAAGAGACACCCCCAAACCCATTGACTCCCCATAGAGACCCAAAGACCCCCATTGACACCCCATAGAGACCCAAACCCCACCATTGACCCAATGGAGACCCCAACCCCACCATTGACCCAATGGAGACCCCAAACCCCACCATTGACCCAATGGAGACCCCAAACCTCACCATTGACCCAATGGAGACCCAAACCCCACCACTGACCCAATGGAGACCCCAAACCCCACCATTGACCCAATGGAGACCAAAACCACATCATTGACCCCAATGGAGACCCCAACCCCACCATTGACCCAATGGAGACCCCAACCCCACCATTGACCCCAATGGAGCCCCAAACCCCACCATTGACCCAATGGAGACCCAAACCCCACCACTGACCCAATGGAGCCCCAAACCTCATCTTTGACCCCAATGGAGACCCCAACCCCACCATTGACCCAATGGAGACCCCAACCCCACCACTGACCCAATGGAGACCCCAACGCCACCATTGACCCAATGGAGACCAAAACCCCACCATTGACCCAATGGAGACCAAAACCACATCATTGACCCCAATGGAGACCCCAACCCCACCATTGACCCAATGGAGACCAAAACCACATCATTGACCCAGTGGAGACCCCAACCTCACCATTGACCCAATGGAGACCCCAACCCCACCATTGACCCAATGGAGACCCAAACCCCACCATTGACCCAATGGAGACCCAAACCCCACCATTGACCCAATGGAGACCAAAGCCACATCATTGACCCAATGGAGACCCCAACCCCACCATTGACCCAATGGAGACCCCAACCCCACCACTGACCCAATGGAGACCCCAACCCCACCATTGACCCAATGGAGACCAAAACCACATCATTGACCCCAATGGAGACCCCAACCCCACCATTGACCCAATAGAGACCCCAACCCCACCATTGACCCAATGGAGACCAAAACCACATCATTGACCCAATGGAGACCCAAACCTCACCATTGACCCAATGGAGACCAAAACCACATCATTGACCCCAATGGAGACCCAAACCCCACCACTGACCCAATGGAGACCCAAACCCCACCATTGACCCAATGGAGACCCCAACGCCACCATTGCCCCCAGTGGAGCCCCCAAGGCATCCCTGGACCCCATAGCCCCCCATGGGCGCTCACGCTCGCAGGAGGGCCTCGGGGTGCTCCATCGGCCCAGGCGGGTGCAGTTGCTGCGGGGGGGCCCCACCAGGCGGTAGCCGGGGTCGCAGCTGAACTCGGCCCAGGTGCCCTCCACCGGCACCCGCTCCATGGCGTGGGTCAGGACCGAGCCGTGCTCCAGGGAGAGCTGGGCCCGCGGGCAGGGACGCACTGTGGGGGACGGCAATGGGGTCAGGGGAATGGGGGGGGGGGGAATGGGGGTGATGGAGGTGGAGGTGGGATGGGGATGGAGATGGGATGGGGATGGGATGGGGATGATGGAGATGGGGATGATGGAGATGATGGGGATGGGGATGGAGATGATGGAGATGGGGATGATGGAGATGATGGAGATGGGGATGATGGAGATGATGGAGATGGGGATGATGGAGATGATGGAGATGGGGATGATGGGGATGGGGATGGAGATGATGGAGATGGGGATGATGGAGATGATGGAGATGGGGATGGAGATGATGGAGATGGGGATGGAGATGATGGGGATGGGGATGGAGATGATGGAGATGGGGATGATGGAGATGATGGAGATGGGGATGGGATGGAGATGGAGATGGGGATGGGATAGGGATGGGGATGGAGATGGGGATGGGATGGAGATAGAGGTGATGGAGATGAAGATGGTGATGGGATGGGGATGGAGTTGGGATGGGATGGAGATAGAGGTGATGGAGATGAAGATGGTGATGGGATGGGGATGGAGTTGGGATGTGGGTGATGGAGATGGGATGGGGATGATGGAGATGGGGATGGGAATGGGATGGGGATGGGATGGAGATAGAGGTGATGGAGATGAAGATGGTGAGGGGATGGGGATGGAGTTGGGATGGGATGGGGATGGAGATGATGGAGATGACGGAGATGGGGATGGGATGGGGACAGAGATGGGGATGGGATGGGGATGAAGATGGGATGGGGTTGGAGATGGAAATGGGATGGGATGGGATGGGGATGGGGATGGAGGTGATGGGATGTGGAGGATGGAGATGGGATGGGGATGATGGAGGTAGGATGGAGATGGGATGAAGATAGAGGTGATGGAGATGAAGATGGAGATGGGGATGGAGATAGGATGAGGATGATGGAGATGGGGATGCAATGGCGATGGAGATGGAGGTGCTGGGATGTGGGTGATGGAGATGGAATGGGGATGGAGGTGGGATGAAGATGGAGGTGATGGAGATGACGATGGGATAGGATGGGGATGGAGATGGGGATGGGATGTGGGTGATGGAGATGGGATGGGGATGATGGAGATGGGATGGCGATGATGGAGGTGGGATGGCAATGATGGAGATGGGATGGCGATGGGATGGGATGGGGATGATGGAGATGGGATGGGGATGATGGAGATGGGATGGGGATGATGGAGATGGGATGGCGATGATGGAGGTGGGATGGCAATGATGGAGATGGGATGGAGATGGGATGGGATGGCAATGATGGAGATGGGATAGCGATGATGGAGGTGGGATGGCAATGATGGAGATGGGATAGCGATGATGAGATGGGATGGCGATGATGGAGGTGGGATGGCGATGATGGAGATGGGATGGCGATGATGGAGATGGGATGGCAATGACGGAGGTGGGATGGAGATGGGATGGGATGGGATGGGGATAATGGAGGTGGGATGGCAATGATGGAGATGGGATGGAGATGGGATGGGATGGCGATGATGGAGGTGGGATGGCGATGATGGAGGTGGGATGGGGATGATGGAGGTGGGATGGCAATGATGGAGGTGGGATGGTGATGATGGAGATGGGATGGGGATGGAGATGGGATGGGGATGGAGATGGGATGTGGGGCACGGAGATGGGATGTCAATGATGGAGGTGGGATGGCGATGGGATGGGATGGGGATAATGGAGATGGGATGGCAATGATGGAGATGGGATGGAGATGGAGGTGCCTGGTTATGGGGCACGGAGACAGACTGGGGACACCCCCCCCCACTCACGGCAGCGGCTGGGCTGTCCCCCCGCGGTCCAGGAGCCGTCGCGCTGGCACTTGCGCACCTTGGGCCCCACGAGCTCGCGCTCGGGCCGGCACACGTACTCGAGCTCGTAGTCGAAGGGCAGCACGCGCACGCTGCGCACCTCCTCCGGAGTCAGCCCCCGGTAGCAGGTTAGGGGTAGGGTTAGGGTTAGGGTTAGGGGTAGGGTTGGGATAGGGTTAGGGTTAGGGTTAGCGTTAAGGTTAGGGTTAGGGTTAAGGTTAGGGGTTAGGGTTGAGGTTAGGGTTAGGGTTAGGGTTAGGGTTAGGGTTAAAATTAGCGTTAAGTTTAGGGTTAGGGATGGGATAGGGTTAGGGTTAAGGTTAGGGTTAAAGTTAGCGTTAAGTTTAGGGTTAGGTTTAGGGTTAAGGTTAGGGTTAGGGTTAGGGTTAGGTTTAGGGTTAAGGTTAGGGTTAGGGTTAGGGTTAGGTTTAGGGTTAGGGTTAGGTATGGGATAGGGTTAGGGTTAGCGTTAAGGTTAGCGTTAAGGTTAGGGTTAGGGTTAAGGTTAGGGTGAAAGTTAGCGTTAAGGTTAGGGTTAGGGTTAGGGATGGGATAGGGTTAGGGGTAAGTTTAGGTTTAGGGTTAGGTATATGATAGGGTTAGGGTTAGGGTTAAGGTTAGGGTTAAAGTTAGCGTTAAGTTTAGGGTTAGGGTTAGGGTTAGTGTTAGGGATGGGATAGGGTTAGGATGAGAGTTAGAGTTAAGTTTAGGGTTAAGTTTAGGTTTAGGGTTAGGGTTAGGGATGGGATATGGTTAGGGTTAGAGTTAAGGTTATGGTTAAATTTAGGGTTAAGTTTAGGGTTAGGTTTAAATTTAAGGTTCGGTTTATATATATAAATTTAGGGTTAAAATTAGCGTTAAGGTTAGGGTTAGGGTTAGGGTTAGGTTTAGGGTTAGGGTTAGGGATAGGGATAGGGTTAGGGTTAGGGTTAAGGTTAGGGTTAAATTTAGCATTAAGATTAGGGTTAGGGTTCGTGTGAAAGTTAGGGTTAAGTTTAAGGTTAGGTTTAGGTTTAAATTTAGGGTTAGGATTAAGATTAAGGTTAGGGTTAAGGTTATGTTTAGGGTTCAGTTTAGGGTTAGGGTTTTAGTTTTGGGGTTAGGGTTAGTGTTAGGTTCAAGGTTAGGGTTAGGGATGGGTTAGGGGTAAGTTTAGGGTTAGGGTTAGGGATGCGGTAGGGATGGGGATGAATAAGACACACATGGGGATGGATGGGACATTCATGGGCACGTATGAAACCCACACATCACTCGTATGGTCATGTATGACACATGTATGGTCACGTCTGGCACATGTATGGCCATGGACCGTCACGTGTGCCCCACACATGTTGATGTAGAGAGCCAAACCTAGAGGCATCTCATAGCCCCCCAAAGTCACCCCATAGACACCCTATAGAGACTTATGGACAGCCAATAGACATCCTATAGAGAGCCATGGACACCCCTTAGACACCTATAGGAACCCCATAGACACTCCATATTCACCCCATAGACACCCCATAGAGACCCATAGACACCCCATGAAGACCCATAGACACCCCATAGACACCCTATAGAGACCCATAGACACCCCATAGACACCCTATAGAGACCCATAGAGAGCCACAGACACCCCATAGACATTCCATAGAGACTGAAAGAACCCCCATAGACACCCCATAGAGACCCATAGAGAGCCATTGATACCCACGGAGACCCATAGACACCCCATAGAGACCCACAGACACCCCATAGAGAGCCATAGATACCCACAGACACCCATAGACACCCCATAGAGACCCATAGACACCCCATAGAGACCCATAGAGACCCAATGTACCTTCAGTGAGGTTCATGTGGACGCCCGCCTGCACGGGCTCCGTGCTCAGCACCAGCAGCAGCAGCAGCAGCATCTATGGGGCAGCCCCACACTTAGGGGGGGGATACAAGAGGGGGACCCCCTCCCCCCACAAGCACTGCCCCAAAGGTCCCCAAGGGGTAGATCCCTATAGAGTAACACCCCATAGAGTACACCCCATAGAGTACACCCTATAGAGAACATCCCCTATACAGTACACCCCATAAAGAACACCCCCATAGAGAACACCCCATAGAGAACACCCTATAGAGAACACCCCCATAGAGAACAACCCCATAGAGAACATCCCATAGAGAACACCCCATAGAGAACACCTCTTAGAGAACACCCTATGGAGAACACCCCCATAGAGAACACCCCATAGAGAACATCCCATAGAGAACACCCTATGGAGAACACCCCCATAGAGAACACCCCATAGAGAACATCCCATAGAGAACACCCCATAGAGAACACCTCTTAGAGAACACCCTATGGAGAACACCCCCATAGAGAACACCCCATAGAGAACACCCCATAGAGAACACCCTATAGAGAACACCCCTTAGAGAACACCCCATAGAGAACACCCCATAGAGAACACCCCATAGAGAGCAGCCACTATAAAGTACACCCCATAGAGAGCACCTGCTATAGAGCACAACCTATAGAGAACACCCCCATGGAGAACACCCTATAGAGTACACCCCATAGAGTACACCCCCATAGAGAACACCCTATAGAGAACACCCCCATAGAGAACAACCCCATAGAGAACACCCCATAGAGAACACCCCATAGAGAACACCTCTTAGAGAACACCCTATGGAGAACACCCCATAGAGAACACCCCTTAGAGAACACCCTATAGAGAACACCCCATAGAGAACACCCCATAGAGAGCAGCCACTATAAAGTACACCCCATAGAGAGCACCTGCTATAGAGCACAACCTATAGAGAACACCCCATAGAGAACACCCCATAGAGTACACCCCCTATAGAGTAGACCCCTATAGAGTAGACCCCATAGAGTGCACCCTATAGAGTACACCCCCTAGAGAGTACACCCTATAGAGTAGACCCCCATAGAGGACACCCCCTATAGATAACACCTCCTTTAGAATACACCCCATAGACAGCACCCCCTATAGAGATCACCCCATAGAGAACACCCCCTACAGAGAACGCCCTTATAGAGTACACCCTATAGAGTACACCCCATGGAGAACACCCCCATAGAGAACACCCCCTATAGAGTACACCCCATAGAGTACACCCTATAGGGAACACCCCATAGAGAACACCCCCTATAGAGAACACCCCCTATAGAGTACACCCCATAGAGTACACCCTATAGGGAACACCCCATAGAGAACACCCCCATAGAGAACACCCCCTATAGAGTACACCCCATAGAGTACACCCTATAGAGAACACCCCCATAGAGAACACCCCCTATAGAGTACACCCCATAGAGTACACCCTATAGGGAACACCCCATAGAGAACACCCCCATAGAGAACACCCCCTATAGAGTACACCCCATAGAGTACACCCTATAGGGAACACCCCATAGAGAACACCCCCATAGAGAACACCCCCTATAGAGTACACCCCATAGAGTACACCCTATAGGGAACACCCCATAGAGAACACCCCCTATAGAGTACACCCCATAGAGTACACCCTATAGGGAACACCCCATAGAGAACACCCCCTACAGAGAACACCCCATAGAGGACAATTTGTTGTCATTTTTCGTTCCAATTTGGGTTGAAAACACCCGATTTTGTTTGAAATTTGGTTTCAAATTTGGTTCGAAATTTGAGTTGAAATTTGGTTTCAAATTTGAGCGGAAATTTGTTTCAAAATATGGCATAAAATTTGAATTGAAAATAGAGTTGAAAATTAATTTCAAATTTGGATTGAAATTTGATTCCAAATTTGACTTGAAATTTGATTCCAAAACTTCATTTCAAACTTTTTTTTATTTCAACCCCGATTTGAAACTAGAATTTTTTTTGCATTTCAGGTTTTGACTGGAAATTTGCATTTTTGCTTTTCTTTTCTCCTGGAAATTTCAATTTCCGTTCAAATTGGAAGCAAAATTTTTCCTTTCCATGGAATTTTCATTTTGGCTTGAAATGGGATTTTCATTCTTTTTTATTTCAATGGAATTTTCAGTTTTATTTAAGTGAAATCTCGTTTTTTTTCCTTGAAAATTCCATTTCATTTTTCCTTTCAATCGAATTGTCATTTTCAATTTTTGTTTTTCCTTTCAATTTTACTTTCACTTTTTCCTTTCAATTTCAATTTCCGATCCCTTTTTTTGTGCTTTAACATTCATTTTTAATTTTTCCTTTCAATTTTATATTAATTTTAACTTTAATTTTCATTTTAAATTTCATTTTCACATGAAATTTCAATCTGATTTCAGTTTTCATGGAAAATTTCATGTTCACTTTAAATTAATTTTAAATTTCATTTTCACTTTAAATTTCTATTTAATTTCATTTCCCATTTAATTTTCAATTAAAATCTTATTTTAATTCACACTTCCATTTCATTTTATTATAATTTTCATTTCAAATTTAATTTTCGTTTTTAATTTAATTTTCATTTTCAATTTAGTTTCATTTAAATTTCTTTTTCACTTTAAATTTCAATCTGATTTCAGTTTAAATTTCATTTTATTTTAAATTTTTGATTTATTTTTTATTTGAAACGTCTTCTAAAAATGAATTTTAATTTTTAATTTCAATTTTATTTTCATTTCCAATTTCATTTCGTTTTAAATTTCATTTTCACTTTACATTTCAGTTTAATTTAAAATTTCAGTTTAATTTTTATTTCAAATACCGTCTAAAAATTGATTTTAATTTTTAATTTCAATTTTATTTTCATTTTGAGTTTCATTTCATCTTAAATTTCGTTTTAAATTTCATTTTGAAATTTCCCTTGCATTTGAAATTTCATTTTGAAATTCCACTTTCACTTTAAATTTCATTTTCGATTCCAATCCCCAATTTCTCGCCCACTTTTTTTCCTCCATTCAACTTTTCCCCTCAGAATTTCAGGTTTGGGGCAGTTTTCTGCTTGGGGGGCGGTGGTGGGGGGGGGTGGGGGAGGGGCAAAGTGGGGGGGAGGGGCCTCCCCTTTCCCCCCCCCCCCCCAGGGGCACCCATAGCACCCAATGGGGGAGACCCCATTGGGATATGGGGGGGGTCAGGGTGATGGGGGGGTCCCATAATGGGGGGGGGGTCTCACAATAGGGGG